AAATTACTTTTGAAGCAGAAACAATGCTATTATAAGCTTATTTATCCTCTTTACCACACCCTTTCAATTATAAATGCCTAAGCTGAGTTGGACCTCTACAGCCACCAAAGCCTCTTACCACACCACACTGGTAAATCTGCTTGCTTCCTTCTTCTGAGATTTTTTCTTGCAGTGCATGCTTAGGATAATGAAAGCTAATGATCCCAATCTTTAAATTAGTGCTATTACATTACAAGGCATGAGAATAAAGGATCATTTCCCCCTATAAAGGAATGGAGTTATCTGCATCTATGCCTCTTATGACGTCACGTTTAGCCACACCCACCGACAGGAAGTAAATTGAAAGGAAGCAAAAAGTGCATTTTTGAAGGCTCATATCTCAGTGAATAAATTTTTTTAGACAATAGGAGTTGGAACACATCATTATTATGGTCAGGCAATCATATTAAGACCATAAAATAAATACCCTAAAAAATCACTGTAGTTACACTTTAAGAAAATTCTTGAAACATAGACAGAGACAAAAGCGCAAAGGATAGAGCTACGCTGATTGTGACGTTTACAAGTCAACTTCAAAGAAGAAATTAGACACCGACTTCCTGATTCATATCCATGTGTAGATCTATGTAGTATCACAGATAGTGGACGTATCTATGGTGCAGCAGCTCTATACACCCCCGTATTGCCTCGGGCTAGCTAAGCTAATACCTCTAAAATAGCTTCACTGGCAAGGCCACACACCTTTGGTGCCTATTTGATTTAATAGTTTTATTTTTTTCTGCTTTCTAAATATTTTTTATCTTATTTAAATCTCGACTACCAGTGTGGTTTCATAATATTATTAATTGTTGTTTCCTTATTATTATTCATATCATTATTAATTGATCACTTTTGTACAAAAATGAGACATTTTATTAGTGTGAGCAGGATTTTGGATTTTGTGGGTTCAATTGTGTGTAGAGTGTGTGAGTGCAGGCTGTATATATTGTCGCATTTTTGTTTCTGGATTTGCTCTTTTGATTTCTGTATGATGATTGATTTGATTCCTTTCAAAAAAGAGTTTGTTTTATTGAATAGTAAATATAACAGATTTGACAGCCAGCAGACAAGCAAGCTGCCTGAAGACTCTGACTGAATTCCAGACTAAAGTCAACATCAAACCAGAAGGGATCAGCGGTGTGCAGCGACCCCACCTATCCTTGCTATGCACTGCTTTTTTTCCTATTCATGTGTGACAAGAAATAAAATTAAACATGCAATGATGCTGCAAAAACATGATGGTTGCAAGTACACTGTCTAATTATAGTTATAGTCAAAATATTAATCAGATAATGAAATATGTCATGATTGTTACTGATTTGAAATAATGCGAAATTCTTTCAACTTCTGAGGATTTGAGTAATGCAAATTTAGCCACTTATGCTGCAGCAGTTCGGTACTGCTAAGTCGGTTACTATACAATTAAGAGAATAATTTCAATATAAATATAATGTATTTTTACCATAATTTTGTTTGCAACAAATGCAAAATGGCATCTTTCAATTCAATAGATACATAAGAAAATTTTCTTGGCTCAAAAAGTTTTTTTTTCTTAATTGACTGGAGACATGGAAGTAGCCCACAAAAACTAAAAAAATGAAAATAAATATTTTGAAATTATATACAATGGACTTGGAAGATCATTACATCTATTTTTATTGTTACAAATTTATTGCATTATAAAATATTAATTTAAAAAATACTATTATTATAAGTAGAACAATGAAGGCAATAATAACTATGGAAAAAAACAAAACTAAATATAGTCCAAATAAAACATTATAATTGTTACCAAAGCAACCAAAAGCAAAGAAATAAATAAAACAATACCAAAAAACAAGCAAGAAAAAGTTTAAACAACGCCATCAGCCACCAAAAAAAAACAGGGACAAAAGTAACCCATCAAGTGGCATTTCCCCTTCTCAAGGAGACAGAAAACCTCTAAATGAGCACAAGCTGGTTGGTGCCACAACCAATGAGCTACGAGTTCCAAAATGATGGAAACAGCCAACTTGCTTCATCCTCCTAAGGTCTCCATCAAAATGGAGACAAAGGTGATCCCAGCTGACAAATCATGTGCCCTTTTCTTACATATCTCACCATATAAAAGAGCACAGCCTAAGCCTTACACTCAGTTAAATACTCTAATGCGATACAACAGGCTTGCCCTGACTCCAAATAGGCAAGAGAACATCAGCTGGTCTGGAAACACATTTAGCGATTAAAGAGGAAACCTTGTTACGAGGAGAAAGAGCAGCAAAGCAACAGGCAGTAAACAAAACATCTATACATCAAATATCTACATCAAACATCTAAAATTTAGATAAATCTGTTCATTTTTTGAAGGCCATGCTCTAAACTACTGGAAAATGCTACTAGCTATCTCAAAAGAGCTAACACAAAGGAACTTGGGTTAACTACTCCTTTGAAGCTTCTGTTTCTCGTGCTTGTATTTGAGGAACACAAAACAGCTAAGACTTTTCTAGGTCAAAAAGACAGATCTAGGAGCTAAGAACACACTGTGCTGAAGTTATTGTTGATTAAAGACAAATTGCAGTTGTACAGAATGAATAAATGAATCAACTAATGACTGACCACACAACAACTACCTACACCTTGCATAGGAGAGGCCAAAAATAAAAACAAACAGATTAGACATAAAAAAAAATATTGGAACATCCTAACAAAACAGCAGAAGCAAAACAAAAAGAAATGAAAATGTAACAAAAAAAAATTAACAATTAAGACAAAAAGAACACATGAAATAACACCATTTTAGTTACTGCAACATAAAGTGCAAATTTGGCAGAGGTGACTTTCTTCGTGAAAGTTACACATTTCACACATATAATCAACCTTCTTGAAATATGTATACAAGGCAATTATTCTCACATTTGTGTAAAGTGTACACTAGCCCCACACATTTATTATCAACAAATTAATAAACTCTCAGTATTAGACCACTCTCATAACATTCATAGTTTCCCATTAGAGGAGGGCCTTGTGCAAACAGGCAGTTTATTAAATTTTATTAAACTTATTTATTATCAGCTGTACAAACTGCTTGTTTAATCAGTGTAAAAGGGCAATAATGATTAAAAATGCAGCAGAAAGCACACAGGTAAAAAAAAACAAGGAAATTTTTGTGCAACATTAAAGTTTGTAAAAATAAAACATTCCTAATACACACTAAGTGCCTCAAAACAACTATATGAATATTAATTTTAATGATTATAAGATCCGCAAAATAAAAGAATAAAAATGCATCAGTAAGAATTTACCAGATCTGGACAAAGTAACATTACAAACGAAAGGTAAATAAGTGACAGCTGCAAGGCACTCATGCTTCATATTTCTATATCAATAGTAGGGTTCTCAGTCACTTCAGTACAAAATTAAACTCAGCTTTGACTGGATTCTCATCATATATCATTATGCAATTGAATCCAATATAAATACAGTTTTCTTTAATATTTTGTTGTTTCTGATACCCAGGCCTGTGTCACATACATTTGATCTGGTAAAAGCTAATGTTGCTTAATTTTCAGGTCTTATATTAGAAAACTTACTACAAAAAGTGAGTTCTAGTAAGCCAAACTCGTACTAGCAATGTGTACTAAACAGGTTTTGTAATCATTTTCAAATATCTCACAATTCTTTATGATAAACTATTATTTAATTGCATTTTCTCAAACGGGGCTGGATTTTTTCATCAAGAAGACAAACCAAAGGGCTAATTTTGTGGATGTACTTTGGTATAAGGTCCAATGAGAATAGGAAAGGTAATCAAAAGTGAAAAAGTGTCTCACATTTGGCAAAGGAGATCAAGCAAAAGAAGAAATACAACTTACTTTTAACATTTAAAAAGACAACCACCTAATCATTTATTCACTGGTAATACCCAGCAAATAAGTATGCTAGTATGGTACAACTTATGTTTTAGAAAATACCAAAGAGGTGAAATAGGTACAGTGTTCACAATTCTGAAACAAGAGTTGAATAAAGCTGTAACTGACTACATTGCAGAGAATACTTCGACCATTTTACTGATCCAGGATTTAAACATTTATTATCAAAAGTAAAAGTTAAAGGGAAGCAGACTTCCAAATGAGGGTCTTTATTAATATGATTGCCTGACCATAAAAATAACTAAGTATCTACAGGTCCGGTAACCGGACACATTCTTCAGAGCTAGAGATCTGGTAATAGGAGCTTTGCCCCTATATATACTACATCCCAGTATCAATAATACACTGATTTTATACAGGAAACGAGTATTAATGCAAAGACCAGCATCAAGGATGCCGCAGGGTTCGTGGTGGTGCAGTGGAGAGGCTCGTGTAGATTGCACGGATATGGGCAGTGGTTTGAATCCGGTCAAGACTACTGAATAAAACTATGCTACTGTTTTTGATTCTTTTCCTTTTATAAAAATAACTTTTAGCTATTTTTTATTTTTTGGCTTTTTTTGGTCAAGTAATAAACACCCCCTCGTACATCTTAGCCTCCGGGGTCGTAAAGTTAGGATTGGGGTTTAGTGTTCAGTTTTTAGAGCATAGGTCATAAAATAATACCCTCTCGTACATCTTAGCTTCCAGGGTCATAGGATTGGAATTTGGGTTTAGTGCTTAGTTTTAGAGCACCTTCTCGTACATCTTAGCCTCTGGGATCGTAGGGTTTTGGCATTTGGGTTTAGTGTTTCTTGATAAAAACACTAAGTTCAATTTTGCACTATTGCGCATGTGCACAAGCTGTTTTACGGAGAAAAACGGACTACCAAATCTCTAGCAAGTGAAAACTGTATCCAGTTACCGGACCTGTAGACACAGCCTAATAATAATGTGTTCCAAATTCCATGGTCTAAAAACCTTTATTCACTGACCATTTCTGCTTCTTGCAATGTTACTTCCTGTTGATGAGTGTGGCTAAACGTGACGTCATAGTAGGAATGTTTGCAGTTAAATCCATTCCCTTACGACAGAAAATGATCCATTATTCTCATGCCTTATAATAAAGTAGCACTAATTTAAAGCTTGAAATCATTAGATTTCATTATCTTAAGCATGCAGAGGTATATGTAGGCATGGGAAGGGTAGGGCATTGCCCTACTAACCACAAACACACTAATTTGAACATTTTTAAAATTGTTTATATAACACAAACCACTAATTTAACCACCAAGCCCGGCTCAGCATAGCCAGTTGCAGCACTCAAACACAGCAGCAACAGCAGTGATTAAATCTTGGATTGAATAAAGATCAACATTAAAAATGAAACGCAAGGTTTGCACTATTATGGATTTCTGGGGATCTAAAGCTAAAATATCTAATTCTACTAAAGTAGAAGCCATTAATGAGCAAGCTGGTTAGTCAATGTATAGTATAGACTATAGTATAGCTATTGTCATTATCATAAAGGTATTTTAAATTCATGTGATCTGGACCCACAGCCTGACAATACATGAGTGTCTGACACTGGCAGCACATTAGGACTAGCCACTAATTATGAAGTTGTCCGCATTCAACAATCACCATCTACTTCTAGCCAAGGGCCTGAAGCTGCTGCTTCATTATTGTCTTCTAATGAGACTTCTACTTTCCTTGTTGTTGTTCTTGATATTTCGAAACAGAAACCACACCGCCTTGTGCAACCAGTCATTAAGCATCCACAGTCAATGTTTGGTAGTGTTGGTATAGGTCTTTCGAGAGTAGGTGGTACAGCATGGTTAGAATATTCAGTGAGACATGATTCTGCATTTTGCCATCCTTGCAGACATTTCTAGACAAGTCCAGATCCCACTTTCAAAAGTATTTGGTTTCGAGATTGGAAACATGCACTAGGTAAAGGGGTTCTGAGCATTCATTCCTCATTAGCAACCCATACAGAAGCAATGCTCAATTGGAATGGATACAAAAAGAGAATAGATTCTGATAGCAGTGTTGTACATGTAGTTCAGCTGGACAGGCTTGGTGCAAAAGTCATAGCAGATAACAGGAAATATGTGGAGTCATTAATGGAAGGAGTGCTCTACTGTGCAGAGCAAGGGATATCACTCAGAGGGCATGATGAGAGTGAATCTTCTTCTAACTATAAGTCTCTTCTAACAAAAGTTATATCACAGCATTCAAGTGAAGTAGACTTGATGACAAAAGAAAACCTACTTGGCCCTCCTGCTTTTCAGAATGAGATTATACACTTTTTGGCCAATAAGGTATGACAGTATATATTACAGATGGGTGTGCAGATGCTCAATATTTTACTATTATGGCAGATAAAACCAATGATTGCAGCAGAAAGGAGCAACTGTCAATTGTTTTTGTTACATCTATAACTCCATTGTGCTTGAAAGTTTCACTGGCTACACTCATGCAATCTGCTCCAGCACTGGCAGAATACATTGTAACTAGAATCAAAGCATTTGATTTAAATCTAGATAATTGCATTAGCCAGTGCTATGATGGCGCTTCAGTCATGAACAGCTGTAACGCTGAAGTACAGGCACTGATTCAAGCACAGTGTTCACAAGCAGCATATATCCATGTACACTGCTATATTCTTCGTCTCAACCTTGTTCTGGTAGATGTTGTC